TTAAGAGTTTTAGCTTATTGCAGGGGGCCGGAATTTGTTGCTTGAGGGTGCCAATTTCACATGGAAAACCAACAACACCTAATCATACTTGTCAGTGAATGTAAAAGTGGCTTTTTTGCCTGAAGTGGAATCTTAAAATTAATATTAAGAGAATCTTCACAATTTGAACACTTTTCTTTTCTTTTGATAGGCAGTTTACTTAAACTGAGTCTAGGAAAAGACTTCAAAATGGATGATTACAGAGCTCTGCTCTTCAATGTCTCTCAGAACGTAAGTCAAATTTCTGTTCTACTCAAGAGTGATCACAATGCATTCTCCAGATCTCATAACAACATTAGTACACAATCAAACATACAGCTGATGACAGTATATTGAATGAAGTATGGAAGTTGCACTGTAGAATCAGTTCATGGAACTAACAATGAAAAACGTCTAGCAGCTAGACTCTAAATGGTTTAACTACAAAGAAATTTTATAATAAAGTGGCATGTTGGTAAAGGACAAATTTGGTAATTGCTAAGGACCTGACTACTGCAGAACATTTTCAGATTATTTGTATGTTGTTGTTGTGTTGTTGTTGTTGTACTGCTTTTGCTCATTGTTGTCACAGGAGTATGAAGGAGTCACTGTTGTAACATCCAAGACACAGGCTGGTTTTGTCCAAATAGTGTTAACAGATCAGGAAAATGGTATTTAACATTGTCAGTAATATTCATAAATACTGGTATATCATGCATGCATGTTTTACTGCCACTACTATATAGGCATCAAATTTAGATTTAGAGATTGATCTAACTTATAAAATACTCACACTATTAGTGGGTGACAAATGAAAGCTGTGTTTAGAAGGTAGGGAAGGAGGATAACCTCTTGCAAATCTGTAAGTTCTGTAAGTAACTTATGAATCAACCCCAATACTGTAAAATAAATCAGTGAAAAAGAAACTCATCTTGTCAGAGAAGTTTTGTAACCCTCATCTTGTATCTAGAGTAGCCTCCATGTTTCACTTACGCTGGATTACTGGCTGCCGTTTGGTAAAATGAGCCTGACGTGTACTTCTCTCCTCTCCTCTCCACCCTCAAAGTCATTCTTTCTCGGAGAGCACCTTTAGGGACTGGACCTAAGAGAGCAGCACAAATCAAGTTTCACTTCTTCATCACAATTTAGTAAATTTGTCTTGTATTCCAAAATCAGTAACAATTCAAGGGGAAAATTGAATGTTTGACCAGATAAATGACACAACTCGGCTGAAAAATTCAATTTTTGAAAAACTGCGGATGATTCCTACTATCTTATGTATATGTATTACGTTTTCAAACTTGATTAGATACAGAAATTTTCTTTGTCAAATGTTGAACTTGTAACAAACTGAATACAGTTGTCAAAGAAAGCTGAAATTCCATGGTTACAGTACCTCATTGCTACCCATTTCACGGCCTGGCCCAGTTTGGCCGCATCCATACTGTCAAATCTTTTTTTTTTT